ACACACACACACACACACACACACACACACACACACACACATATGCAAACTGAAAACACTTTAACATTCTTTCAAAAAATCAAAAGGTGTGCATTCTTTTTTTGGTATCAATACCCTAGGAAATTTAGCCTCAATTTGGAAGGCTGCAATCCCGGGCTCATTAGCTTGTAGCTGGTAGGTTTTGCATCATAAACATTATTTCATTCGAACAAACTTTGAGCACTTGGTACCAAACAAGAGGTTTAACAGCCATAAAATTCTGCACAGAGAGCATACACTGAGAATTCCACCTGCCTTCAGAGGATCACATAAATCTGATTATTGATGAATCTCGGTCATAATCTAGGAAGAAGATAAAACTCTATTTTAAGGTTAAGAACTATACACAAGGGCCATGAAAGGTAGGGATTTTCATAACACTCTGGCTATTAAAGTGGTTGTATGTTCCCTTGTGCTTTTACCAAGAGGTTATTGAGCATGAGCTTTTATTTAGGAGAAATTGAATTCTGTCTCCATCCCATCTGTAACTCCGTATGCACAACACACAAGTCAATAACTTTTGTTAACTAAAGCGAGGACCCTGTCAACAGGGTGGATGGCTTTTTGTTACAGCTGAGGTGCCACTTTCACATCACGTTATCAGGTCTAACTCTGGTAAGCCCCTGCTTGACCAGATGACAACACCACAACCTTAGCAACACTCACAGATTTCCCCATGTGCACAAAACCCGGAATACTTTTTTATCTATATTTACCGCTTTATTGCTTCTTCTTGTCTTCGGCGTTTTTCATTCTTCTCCTTCAAATAGGCCAGGTTTGTTTCATTTCTCAAGCGATCATTCTCTCGAGCAATGTCTGATGCATTCTGAATAACCAAGCCATCGTATGCCTTCATCCCCATATCCTCAATATACTGGAGAAATGTGTCCAAAGGGTCTTCCTCAGGATTAGAACTCATCATCTTGGAGGATATCATGTAAAAAAGAGCACTTCCTGTAGAGTGAAAACACATTATGCTTTTATCAAGGGTGGAGGTAAAAGCAAGGTGCTTTTAATTATCCCCGATATTGTCAGTTCAAATCTCCAATGATTATGGTAGAATCCATTTGGAGAAAATGTCTCATTAGAAATCACAAAGAACCAGAGTATTTTAAGTAAATATTAAGTAAGAGCTACTGAATAGCAGACACTCCCTCAAAGCAGCAACCTTGGCAAGACAAAGGCCAAAGCTCTTGGACTGAAAGGTGATGTGAAGATGTAAATACCGTATGCAAAGAGAAATGTTTGATTGAGGTAATTAGAGTAATGATTTTGTTTCACAAAAACATGTTTTTATGCCAATAAGATATATCAGATTGAAGCTTCATTTATTTCTGATTGTCATACAGACTTTTCTGTTCAATTTCAAATAAAATGATACAATTATTTGGAATGAACTTTTGTGTTATATGTGCTTTCCTTAAAATTTTCAATTAAAATTTATGAATATGAACTATTTATGCAAAATATAGTAGTGATAAAAGAAAGATACATTTTAATATAATTTTTCTAGGGAATAATCCCTTTTTGACCCTCAGTTATTTTCCAGAATGATCTTCTATAATAGTTTCATGCTGTAACACAAGTATCATAGACCACCACAGCCACATTAATCCTGACCGTACTATTAATTCAAGCATTGACAACTGTTATATCATTGCTACATGGTTTAAAAACGTGAGCCACAGAAGGGATTACTGAAAAACCAAAATCAAATCAAAACAAAACAAAACAAAATAGCATAGGACTTTCAA